GCATCGAGGAGTCCGCTGAGAAGACAGTGGCTTCGATGAGCCGAGCGGAGAAGCAGGCGTTGGAGAAGGCGCCAAAGTGACCTCACAAAGTGAGCCTCTCCCTTAAACGCTCCATTATCGGCAGAGTCATTCGTCGCGCCCTGCGTTCTGGGGCTGAGATACGACGGGAGGCGAAATCAGCAAAGACAAAGCTGGAAGTCTATGCCACGGAACAAGAGGCCGAGTGCTTGAAGTTGAAGCGATCTCAGCTCAGCGCTTGCAGTCTATTTGTCTCAGCGTTCGGGTCGCGTTTTCAAGATATCATTGCGCCTCCGCCAAGCTTAGGCTGTCCCAGACGAAGACTTCTCCTGACATCTTGTACGTAAGATTTCGCAGACACTTCTAGTTACCTTCATTGCATCTTGCAGAAATGGTCGGATCGCTGACAGGGTTTGTCTGACTCCTTGTTGAGGTAGACCTGTGGACTGTGTGCATGCAGAAGGCATTGCGGAAGATCATCGAAGAGAAAGAGAAGGCAGAAAGCGCAGCATACAAGGATTCCGCTGCAGAGTTGATTGCTGGCAGAAAGAGGGCACCGACTGGGTTTGGAGACACAGAATGGCCCGACATGGAGATGGAAACACACTTCCAGCTGAAACCCTAGATCGACCACAGATTGGCTTCCTGCACGACGCTCATGTCTCACCTGTTGTGCTATCCCCGGTGGCATGTGCTTCGCGTATGCGCCGATCGCCCCCATGAACAAGCCGGTGTACTAAGAGAGTTGAGTATCCACCGCAGGAATGTGCCATGGAGATGGCCAAGGCACTCAAGTTCCTGCGTGGGTTGTCGCCACCTTCATCTGCAGTGATCTGACTGTGTAGATGATGCCGCAGAATGCTGCAGTTTGAAGGCGACAGTTGTCACACGGCAGGCATTGGAATATGGTAAGGAGAGAGAAAAGGCACAGAAACTTGGCTGCAGTTGCTCTTTGAGCTCCGAGGCGGATTGGCTCTGTGAAGCCAAAAAACGCGGTGTTGTAGGGGTAGGTTGGTGCCCGGAGCCCCGCCAAGGCAGACCCTGGAGGCAAAGACTACAGAAGAGAAGGCGCAACCAGGGTATTTCCAGCACTGCCCTGTATCATTCTGGGTGGCAACACACAGCTTCCTAGGTTCTCTTGCACGCTGCGCGTAATCTTTCCGGATTCTGCGCCTGGCGACTGGCTTGAGGAAATCGAGGCTGAGATCGCAAAGCTTCAACAAAAGTTGGCCTTGTGGCTGCATCTGGCACGTGGCTTGAGCAGGTTTGAAGGTAAGCAGGATAGTCAGATAGTCAGCTTGGCGAGCGACTCAGGAGGACATTCGCAAGGAGAAGGAGACGGCGCAAATCCTGGCCACGCTGAAGGACTGCAAGACGGCAGTGCGGAAAAGCTTCATTCAAGGATGTGCACGGTCATACAAGGGGTAAACCAATAGACCCACAACACCTTTCTGCCTTTTCTTCCTCGACAGAAAAGTCCTCAGTGCTCAGCGGCTCAGCACAGGATGCCGCCGAGAAGACCTCCTTCCAGCGAGCTCGTGGGCTCGAGAAGAAGGCCACCAAAATCGCCACTGATCCTCGGCAGCGAGGCCGTTACGCAAAATCAATCAAAGCAGCCTCTACCCCGATCTTGTCTTTCAAGTCTTTAGAGCCAAGGAAAAGAGAACCTCGACTGAAACCTTGGAGAAGCTGGACCAGAGCTACGAGGCTTGAGCGATCGTAGTGTAGCGAGTCAGTAACTTACCACCGTTGACAACAGGCCGATCCGGCCAGTTTTTCAGAGTATATTGACCTATTATGACCTATTAACCTCTTTGCACGAAATCGTTGTGATGTTGGAGCACTCGGTGTGTGGCCAGCAGGTCTCTAGCAGGGAGGCAGCTGAGCAAGAGGCAGCTGCGCTACAGGCCTCCAGCCGCTTCTAGAGGTGTGAGAACGTGCCAGCGCCAGAAATGCAAGGCATCCAAGAGCCGCGTAGCAGCCGAGCGGAGGATGCAGGTCCTTGCTCAGGGGTTAAACGGCAAGACACAACGGAAAGATCAACAGCGATCTGAGTCTCTGCGTGGCACATGCCGGACGAGAGCTCGCGGGCTTGAATGCAGGAGAAACAAGGCGATGCTCCCAGGATTGTCGAGGCCAAGGTGCACAACTCTTGCGGCTTAAATGTTTGTTACTGGGTCTGGAGCTTAAGCGAGTTGCCGGAAGGACGCCGTCAAGAAATCGCGTTCTGCACGGAGTGCGGCCGAGCGCCGTGTGGAGGAAGCAAAGAAACGGATCCAGGCAGGAACACGGCCAAGGCCGTTCTGAGCTGGGTCCGGCCTTGCTTCCCTGAGTCGAGGCCCTGCAGGAGAGCGTCCGCAACGCCTCCGCCGAGGCCCGCAACCGCGCTGTGCGACGAGCAGAGGCAGAGGAGTCACCAGGCTCAATAGCAGGCCATGCGCATGCGCATGCAGAGCAACCGGAGGGCTGCTGCCACTACCACTACCACTACGACGACGACGACGATGACGACGACGACTACTACTACTACTGCTACTACACTGCTCCAGTTTTTGAAAAGGCATTGGTGACGGATGTTATGCTGTTATGCTCGATTTGCCATCCCTCGTGAGTGGCAAAGCACGTGCTTCGAGATGCCTGCGATTTGTCCCTTGAGTTGCTGCTTCGACAGCTTAAGGCCAAGCTTCGTTGAACTGTAATAAGAGGATTTGCAGGAGGCTGGCAAGGAAATCGCATGAAAGACTTCCTGAGTGGCTGCTCCATGTATGATTCACAAGGATGAGGCTATGCCCACCTTGTGCCACGGTTCGCAGCGTCAAAATACGTACTGCAGTTTGCGCCACAGCTGGTGGTACTTCCAACATGCACAAACGAGAGCTGAGGAAGTTGAAGAGTCTGCGGAGAGCCTTGGATGAATCCGAAGGCAGACTGCACCCAGAAAAGGCCTCGGCAACAGTTCAGCCTAATTAAGCGGCCTTGTAGGCATCTGAATTTGGCGAAGTATTGTCCGAATTGACAAGAAGCGACCGGAAGTCGGCTGGCCTGCCTGCCATTGCTCAGGATCGCAGGAGAGTGCCAAGGAGAAGCTGGAGGAGCTGAGCTTGCAGGCAGCCCGGGGTTCGGCAAAGATGAATTCCCGCAAACGAGCTCACATGGGCATCTGCTGTCGTTTTGTCGTGGTTCAAGTGTTTAAGTCTTAGCTTGCCCTTAACATACTTACCTCCAGTACGAGATGGAAAACAGATCCAGAAGCAAGACTCACATCCAAAACCTTCATTCAGCTACAAAAGAGAGTAACAACATTGTAACACATCTCGCCAGCTATAGCAGATACAAGAGTGCATGGATCGATAACACACAAGCTGTCTTCCTGACTTCGTAGGCACCGATGTCTGGTGCTTCAAGGTCGAAACGTCCGGAATCGCAAGCCCTTCCGCCCCGCCGCTCCGTCCCCCCGAAGCTACGTCGAGGCTGTCCGTCATTAGTTCATCGATCAATCGAGATCATCGACCCGGCCTGATAATCATCAGCTCCGGCTTTATTTTTAGCTGCCTAGGCTTGTCATCGGCTCTTCCGAAATGGTGAAGCTTTTTGTTTGTTTTTTTGCTGCGGCACAGCAGCCTATAGCACACGCATCGGCCGAAAGCACAGCAGCATTGTAATTCACAGCCGTTCAACTTCCGGGTGACGTCTAGAATACAAGGCATTTGCAGCCAGGGGTTTGGAGTCGTAGTGAGGCCTGACAACCGGATGGGTCCGGGGGGGTTGGATCATGCCGCAATGTTGAATTTGTGTGGCGAATCAGATCAACATCTGAAGGTGCCGCATGCGCCCAGACGGGAAACAGAGAAGCAAGGATCAAACGAGCGCATCTAAGGAATGCAGTAGGTAGGGTGCGGGCTCACTTTCGCAGCTGCCGGGGTCAGAGCAGCCTTCGAAGCACGATCCGGCGCTTCAATGCCAAGAGGATGCATGGTTGCGAAGCTTGTGAACGCCCGGAGTGCGTCTAGCCGGCTTGAGGTCAAAAAAGCAGAGGAGGACCGCAAGGCCGCCGAAAAGGCAGCTGCAGAGGCCCGGGACTTTCAATTAATCGCTTGCCCTGAATGTTGAAAGTTCATCCCGCCTCGGGAAGTCGAGGCCCCACTCCACGGCTAGAGTTAAGCCATACGCGGCACTTGCATATGCAATCTCATCTTAAGTGCAGTTTTCGTCCTACAGAGACCAGCAACGCAAGTGGTCAAAAATGGTGCAGTGACAAACGGTCTGACAACGTTTAAAGCAACCTTATCGTAGCATGACCAGCTTGCCCGGAAAGTCCCCGTCGCTGAGGCCGGCAAGCCGAGTCGACCGCAGGCTCTGCTTCAGACATGCATTGCTGCAAGTCACTGCAAGTCTCGTTCGCAGCAATGCCTGGCGAATTCACGCACGTCTTCACAGGACAAGAGTTAAGGCAACGAAGCGAGCGGAGCAGGAGTGACCGCTCTCAGCGCCTCACGGTCAAGGAGACGTGCTCAAAGTGCATGCGTACCATCGCCTGACCTGATTCCCCTTCTCATCGGTGGCCAGGGTGTCCATGTGCTCGCTCGTGTTGAAACGTGGCCGAGATGCTCGACAGACACTTGCCTCCGTAAGATGTCAGCTTGTTCAGAGCCCCTCACCAGGTTTCACAGCAGGGGCAGTGGTTTGTAGTGCCAGAATCACACTACGGTTGCTGTATCTGACGGCGAAAGCAGCGTGTCAGGTCCTGGACGAGTTTCGGAAGCTCACTACAGACAAGTGAGACGAGCGTCCAACTGTGGATATGAGGTACGACGCGCGAGCGGCTCCAGGGTGGCTCCGAAACAGTGGTCAGACTTGCTCGTCCATTTTGCTCTTCCGAAATTTCCACAACTCCCCAGCACCGAAATTTCCACGGACATCTGCAGGTGGTCTGCCAGTGCGGTTCATTTGCCCGTAAAGTTGAGAATCTGGGTCATCTGCAGGTCTCTGCGCATGCGCGGGTGCTGGCCGAGAAGCTTCGGCTCCTGGAGGTGCGAAGACCAGCGACGCTGGCACTTGGTTGTAATCAGGAACGGAGGACTCAAAGTACCAGTCACCGTGTACCAAATGGTGGCAACATCTAGAAAGCTTTCCTTCGTGGGTTCGGAATCTCCGGGTCACGGGTCCAAAAAGACTATGTTAATCAACTATGCAGTTCTTTGGGTGATACCAAGTCCTTCTGTATTTCATACACGTGCAAGCTTCATGTGTGCTGGCATCCACCGAGTCCACTGCTTCAAAACACTCTACAGCTCTACCTACGACCACGTCACTACGTGCGTGAGATCTACACACTGTTCGGCTGTAGGACGAGCGAGACGCCGTCGATGAAGCAGCCAGGGCTTCAGAGGTGCCGCATATCTGCTGAGGTTTTCATGGGCAAGTCGATCATGGGCACATGTGAGTCACTGGCTCTTGTCTTCGTTGCTCCAAGAGGGTGCTGCCGAAGCTAAGCTTCCGTGAAGCCCAGATACATCACGTCATAGTAGCGCGCCATGGCGCTGAAGCGGATCCAGAAGGAGCTACAGGACCTTGGGAACGACCCGCCGGCGAATTGCTCGGCTGGGCCAGTTGGAGACGACATGTTCAACTGGCAGGCGACCATCATGGGCCCACCTGACTGTCCCTACTCTGGCGGCGTGTTCTTCCTGAACATCAACTTCCCATCCGACTACCCGTTCAAGCCGCCAAAGGTGCACTTCACCACGAAGATCTACCATTGTAACGTGAATTCGAACGGGGCTATCTGCCTTGACATCTTGAAGGATCAGTGGAGTCCAGCATTGACCATCTCGAAGGTCTTGCTGTCCATCTCGTCTTTGCTGACAGACCCGAACCCCAACGACCCGCTAGTGCCGGAGATTGCCCAAGTCTACCTCAAGGACCGGGCCAAGCATGATACCACGGCGCGCGAGTGGGTCCAGAAGTACGCGAC